TGAAAGGTGGTTTGTTTTTTCCTCTTTTTGTTTGTTGGCGCTGGTAAATTTTACCAAGCAGCAATATTAGATTGTAAAAAAAAAAAAAAAATTTTTTTTGCAGTAGAACAGTAAACTCATTTACTGTCTCATAAATAATCTTGGATCCAGAAATGTAATTTCTGGGAAATTCGCGGCTCCCTTTAAGTCTTGGCCAGTGAAATTTGATTGAAGTTCAGATAGAAAAAAAAGTGATACTCCTGCCAAGTTTTTGTCCATCTTAAGATTTATAACTGTGAACATTGGAAACATATCCTTGCCATAGACCTGGAAACCAAGTAGCACTGGTCTGACTGGTAGCTCACAGACATGTCAATTTTGAAAGGGCAAGCAACAGACTTCCTTATGCCAAAAATAGCTTTTGCACTAAATTATTTAAGTATAGTATTTGATCACAGATAAATGGAAAATAATATTTTGCACTTTGGACCTTTTTTGTATAGTGGGGGAAACCCAAGGTCATTTTAAAGTTAGATGGGTTTTGTTGGGTGAATCTGAAATATCATACATTCCAAAACCACGGTACTTGGCATTGAGAAAAATGTGTACTGGTTTTATTCCTCATGTATATTTGTTATATATTGATTGCCACAAAGAGAATAGTTTAGGCTTCTGCAGCAGTTCAAGTAATGTGTACCACTTCTGCACTTTTCTGTTGTTGAGCATAAAATATGTACGAAGACATGTCTGAAGTGTAAGTACAGTGGGCCCTTGGGAAGTTCTGGAGCTGTACCTTGAGTAATTTCAGTCCACTACTGACAAAATATTTACTGGTTTATTTTTGCTTTGTAAGTCTGTTTTCATCCATGGTCTGTGAAACATTCAAGGATGATTCTTAATAGAACCTTAATATTGGAAGTTCTTTATCTTCATTATACCAGAAGTATAAATAGTTCTTTTTAGTCTAGCAAACAAATACAGCTTTATTGTGGTAGTTGCTTTGGTGGCAACCCCTGAAGGTTCCTAATAGCTTCTATTGAAACCTTTTGTATTAAGGCACTTTTAACCTCAGAATCATCCACTTTTAGAGATGAAAATTTCCTTTTTCTGTTTTCTCTCTAGCCTGAGCATTTTTGGGAAAATCCTACATTTCTTCCTCCCTTAAAGAAAATTTCTTGTATACTTGAACATCCTCACAGCTGGGTAGACCTGTGCTCTCTCTGCAGTGTCTGATTGTATAGCTGATGAGTTTGCATTTTACTTGGTTTGAATTTGGGTTAAACTAGAAAGTACTAGATGACTGAAAATTGAGGAGTGCACACGCGCAGAACTTGCATCATGTTCAGTGCAAGTCTGTGGAACTGAGAGACTCTGGTTTGAGTCACTGGAACAAAAACTGCATTGCAAATGAGACGCGCGCCTGGGAATTCTTATTTCTAGAGATTTGTACACATCACTAGGTGATCTGTATCTGTACAGCAGTTAAGTATTGACTCTCAAAACCCCAGGAAATTCCCAGAACCTGACCACTTACTTCTTACCCTTGTTCTCTTCTCCTTTTTTTTTAATTAGTGGAAATAATTTTTTTCAGGCTTTTTTTTTTTCCCCCCCATCTCTTGTTAAAACTTGTTCTGGTAAAAGTGTTCTTCCCCCTCAGTCTCTTTTTTCCTTCCTTCACCAGCCATAACCTGCTAATGTTTCTTTAAAAGTGGTTCATGGTGGTATGGTTTATCCTCTTGTGATAGCTACTTCATGGCATTTTCTCTCTCTTGAACCATGAATAATTTCTTTGAGGCCAAATCAAGAAATACTTGTCTCCCATGGCTCATAGGTTCTTTCAGTTGCTTTTCCTAAATAGGTAGGCATGTTTATATGTCTCAACATTAGCTGAAAATATGCTCATGAATCAAAGCAGCATGTCCTCTAAGGTCAAAGGTTGGTTGTTACTAATTTTTTAACCTTTGTTTGGCTTTTGTTATGGAAATATCAAAATATAGGGAGCTCCTGCATATGTTTTGTTGGTATTTTTCTGCTTTAAAAGTAAAATATATTCTTTGAAAGCAATTGCAGTATTGTCATAATTTGGCACATTCAGTCGTTCACATGCTTTAGAGGAAAAAGGTATCGTTTGTTACTAGTCACTCCCAAATGTACAATTTCACCCTCACTTTGCTTAAGTTTACAAAATCCGGTTATTCGACTCCTATGACTAGTTTTGTAAACTGTTTTCTGCATATATTGCTCCAGACTGTGTAAGAATAGTGATGTATTTTTTACATTTTTACTAGTGTATTAAAGTTTTGGTGTTTCGATAATAATGGCAAATACATGTTGTTATCCATCCATCAATTACAGTTTACTGTAATTTACAAGCTGTATTGTAAATAGTAATACAGCTTACAAGGAAGAAGGAAAAGTGCCCTTAAATTGTTTCTTCTCAGACATGTGAGAAATAAAAATGCTGATGCATATCACAACTTTCAGATTTAATTATTAATAGACGGCACAATAATTGGAGGCCAAGATACTGGAATTAGCAAATGAAAATATGGAACTCTTCAATATTAAAAACTTGTCAGTATTAAAACCAAGGATGTGTCAAAAATCTGATCATGTGGAAACTGAGTGCATGAGAGCAAGAGTCAGCTCACCAAATAAATGACAAAATTTTGCTGAATTGGTAGAATAATTTTAAATTTAATTGACTTATCACAATTCCTGTGAACAAAGATAAATTACGTACCACACTGCCTTTTTATTTTTTTAGTACTTTGGTGTAAATACTTGGTCAGCTGTTAGTAGGATATAAATACGGAATATAAAGCTATCTTGAAAATTATTCAGAATTCATAAATGAAGGGATAGGAAATGCAAAACTTAAGTATGCAAAATATGGTGAAAACTTTTTTTTTTCCCCCCATATGTAACGTGTTTTTCTTGTACATGCAGCCTACACAGAAGTCTATCTTACCTCTTTATGTAACGTAACTAAAACTTTAGAGATATGACAATTCTGAATTGTATTTATTTTCTCTTGTATCTCTAAGTACAGAGCAATCCTTAGCAAGTTTTATTAATGAAATGTACAGCTTATTCTATCCAGTAGAAGTGTACCTATTTACAAAATATGCAATCAATGCATGTGTTATCTTTTTAAAAAAAATCATTAATTGCATTTTTTCTTTGTGTTACTTAATAACTCTCATAAACATTTTTCCCTTTACAGTCTCATAGATAGCAGGTGCAAAATGTCTCATATAATCTTAAGTAATGGAGATAGCTAAGGTTGCATATAAATACACGGAGATATATATATGTATATAAAAATATTTTCTTCCACTTAAAATGGATCATTTGCCAGTATAAACAGTTTAGCGTATGTTAATGATTTAGACAAGAGTTTAATATTAAACTCTGTTTTCTCAGTAGTGCCCTCCTTGTCTTGTTTTGGCTGGTGAACTTTGTGTTGGAGGTTAGCATTTGTTGCTGAAGCGCGTAAGACCACCCCCCTCATGAGAACTGTTGTTTTTTAAAGTAATCTAGAACAGACTTGTTGAATTTATAATTCTACTGAAAAGGTTATGAAACAGTCTAAATTGGCTCTGACTGCAAACTTTGACCTGTTTGGCTGAATTGTGGGAACTGTGCCAAAACTTGATATAAAGCAGTTCTGGGAAGCTCTTTAAGATTAAATTCCAGGCCTGCATGACTGATGTGCTAATGATATGCTTGTGATATTAGGCAAGTGTTACTTCAGTACAGTTTTACGCTCACACAGATCATTCACCTAAAAGTAAAAATTATCTCCAGCATGATTTAAGTAATTTGTTGCATCACAATTTGATTTTAAAAGGCCCAGTTAAAATTTGGCATCTTGATATTCCTTTCTCTACACCTCTCTGCAGTGAGCTACCCTGGCTCCTCAAAAGCTTTTTGTTATGCTTTTTCTTTGGGGAAGAAAAGGTAGGAAAGAGAAAATGTTCTAACCACAGAGTATCTTGGTATGGTTTCCATGAAGCTTTTCAGCCAGCAATCGCTGAATCGGTTTGTATTCAGCACTCTTACAACACATGGCAGGCTTAGGCAAATTTTGAGATGGAAAGTTTGTTTAATGATACATTTCTTCACTCCTTTTAATAATAATAATAGACATTTGGTGTGGGAGTGCTCACATTTCAGTTGAGAATCATCTCTCCAGCCTCTGCAGCTGAGCACCAGCAAATGTGGTATATTTTCTTCATTTATGTCACAAGAACTTTATTCACTCAACACAGAAAACATTACCTTTATTTTTTCTTGTTTATTTTGTTCTTTCTGATGCTTTGCAAAAATGCACTTTTTTCAAATTAACTAGTTTCTAGATTTGAGGAAAACAGTATAATAAACTTGGTTTGACTGAGTTGAGTGTTGCCAATGTCCTGATATACATTACTAGGGGTGCTCATCTGTTGCTCTGTGGCCAGACAACTATATGTTCCATAAAACGCTATTCATGTGCAGGTTAAAGGCATTTTTATTAGAATTCATTTTTACTGATACTTCTTTTGAATATTTGTCCAAATATTGTAGGTGTGTCACTTCTTTCATGGAAAAGGGTAACTGGAATGGTTTTTGAATGCCTCTCTGTATTACCTTAAGAAGTTTAACTGCCAGTATTATTTTCTTAAACTAATACTAAAGTGGACGAGTATTTGTGCATTAAGTCAGGCTTCTATATGAATGCCCATCAGAAAGTTGGCTAGATGGTTGCTAACATATACCTTATACGGAATTCTCTGCATCTCCAGTTACTTTATTTACTTCTTTTTGCAACAATTAGTACAGGAAGTACCCTCTCAAGTATGTCAGTAGAGTGTATTTGCACTTGCTCTGTGACAATTTTGCAATTCTCTGGTGGTGTAACTTTTGGTAAACGGAGTAAGGAATCACTATTAACAGGATTCCTGCTAAAGGTGCCCTGTTAGCTACCGGTGGCTGCATGGTCATTGATTTTGCAAGCTGAACTGGATGAAATAGCGGAGATGGGACTTCAAAGCAGCTGGCTCTTAAGTGAGAAAATGATGGCAAAGGTTCTTGCTAGGAACATGAGTGACAGCCGGGAAAGAAGAGGACACTGCTGTGGGTTGCAGCTGGGGGGAGCATATCTACCAAATAGAAACCTTGGACATCAAGTGTTTGAAGGTGAGAGGCCTTTTTCACCCTGGTCTAGGGCCTCTCTTGGAGGACAGCATGGAGATTAAATGAAAAGATGGATAGAGTCTTTATTTTTCTAAAAATAATTTTCCTCATATTCTTTGCTATGCTTCTGCTGTTAAGAGTTAAGATTGTTGCATTACATAAAATCTGTTAATCTGCTGATTGCTGCTCACAGCTCGTGAGGGAAGGACTTGGAGGTTTTGTTTCCAACTGGATCCACTGAGTAGTCACAGTGGATGTTAAGTGTGTCTTAGTTCAAGGACCTGGCTTGAAGAGAGGAAGAATCTGAGAATTTTCTCCCATAAAAGGTGAAAGCAATAGGTCTAATATTGAGGGAAATGCATTTTAAAAGCCAGTTAGGATGTAGATGTGTTGTTATTCCTACAACTCCAGCAGCTGCAAAGCATACTGATATTCTGCATCATGACAGAGAGAAGAATTTCTGAGTATCTCAACAAATAGTTCATGAAATTCATCTATCGTACTATCAGTTGATTCAGCATGCTGCTTGTAACTCATGCAGTTTAGGATATATCCCAAAGCACTTTCTCATACTGAATGTTATTCCCTAGAAAGAAGGAAGACTGTTTAATACCTGCTCTCCTTATATTGAAAATAATTTTGGAATGAATACTTACATGAGTTTAAAATGAAAGATGGCCTTTGGCTGTAGTTAGAACTCAGTTGCTTGAATTCTGTTCCAGACCTGAAGTAGTTGTGTGTCAGGTTTTTTTTTTTTTCCAGATATATTGTTAATCTGATAAAGTACACTACATCTCTGTACAAATCTCTCATCACCTGAATGTAACAGTTAGAACCAGAGATAAGGAGCTGGTAAAACCAATGTTACTTTTGTTATTTGATTTGCCTTTGTTGATATAATGTAAAACTGGCTATCTCTACGTTTCCTGGTTCAGGTGCTAAAGCATTTCACAATTTGTAAAACAAATGTACCAGAAACTATAATGTTGTTCTGTGTCTAGGAAACCTATTAAAGGGTCACTGTCTAGGTTTGTTTTCTTTGGGATTTAGCTTTTTCTTCAAATCAGGCAGGTCTGAGCAATGGAAATTATGCTTGTTGCTGGACATAGGATTAAGTGACAATCATTAACCTACTTGGAAAGCGTGTGCTTGCAATCTAGCCCTCTGCTAAAATTGCGTAGCAGAAAATCTGTGTCGTTTGTTTTTTTACAAGTATAAACAACTGCACAGGTATAAACAACTGTGCCTTATTTTTTTTGCTTTAATGTTATGCATGGGAAATTCTAAGAAGTAATTTGATTGTGTCTTTCCTGTCTTTTAGAGTATGTATAGAGATTTTTTTTCTATTTACTCTATGGGAGTATTCGTGTTCTAATTTCCTGTGGCTGAAAATTAAGAGGGAATAGGCTGATGTGTTGTACTTGATTCAGAGACTCAAAGATTATAAAGCAATGAACTGTTGGGATTATTTTGTCTGACTAAATGAGTAACATAGACTAAAAGAAGTAGCAGAATACATGGCTGATTTTAAACTAAGTGATGTTGACTGTAATATTACCTTTGGACGAGTTACCCTTTTTAGCCTAAGTTTTCCTTATCATCATCTGTTACTATACCTCTAGCTGGTATTTCTGAGGCCACAGCATTGTGTGCTGTGACTAAGTTTCTTCAGAATTACTGCTTCGCAAGATAGCCCTCCCATACTGTAAGGCCAGTTGTTGTTGGGATCTGGTAGCCTTCAATTTGACTGTATTGAACCACACATTGCAAGTTTGCATCCTGGTAACTGGGGTTACTCAGTGTCAGGGACCTGTGTTGTCTCTGTCTGTTACTCTCATTGTATTTGTGTCAACCTAATTACCAGCAATTTTTTTTTTTTTTAATGTTTGCTTGAAGAGTATTGATAAAGAAGTTTAATCACACAGGGCTGGTAATTACCATGTCTTAATTCTATTAACATGGTAAGAGTGTAACTTACAAGTTACACTTATAATTTCTTTAATAAAAGTTTATACTTAGTTTGAATACTGATTTTTTTTTTCTTTTTTTAATACTACCTTCTTTTAAATATTTATTATTCAGTTCTGTATCATCCATGCCATTGTCTTGTCTTCCCAGCAGGTAATTCAACAAGCTGTTTTAAAAATCTTGACTAAAATCTGTCAAGTCTTGTTGATCTAAAATATCCATATTCAGTCACTACTGTTTAGCTGTGTTGGGCTAAAAGGACTTTCATCGTGAAATGTGAATATCTCACTTGTTATTCTCAGAAGTATTAAATAGAAATATTTGGCCATCTTTTCTGGTTTTTTTCTACATTATTATTTATGGCTTTTTCACTTCCACCTAACAACAAACCAATTCTGTTGTTGCGATTTTTATGTGCTTCTAGCTGATTTGACTTTTGATTTTTGTCAAACTGGCCTTTTCTAGTACCAGATAAACAAAATTTGGGTTTAATTTAATAAATGCAATTTAGTTTTTATGAAATCAAGAGAAGACCACACCTACTTAAGCAACATCTGCACTTCAGTTCTGATGCCCCTTTATTAATTGAGAAGAGGGATTAGAAAAATTTTCCTTTCCATAGATGAAACAGTTAACCTTTTTCCAACTTAGTTTTTAAAAGCATGTGGGTGCTTTAGAGCTATCACTTAGTGATGCATCTCCAAAGTCTCAGAACGTGAAGTCCCCTGTAGTGCAATCTTGTCACCCTACCTATGGGTGTTGAGGGAAAAAGTCCAGTGACTGGGTGGCTTGTAGCAGGCACTAGCAGGCCTGTGATTTATTTGTCAGAACAAGGTAAACTTGGGTTTGTTTTTTTTTTTCAGGAGTTGTACACACCCAATGATTTATACAGCTGCAATTTCCACTGTATCTTCCATTTTTCTTTACCCCAGATTGCCAGCAATTTTCCATCTGTCTCAGTTTACAACAGCTTGATTTCATCCACATTCTGACTTCTGCAAAAGGTGTAGGTTCCAATTCAGCAAAATACGTAACTTGATGGGTACCTGTATGCACGCTTTGAAAGTTAGGAGGAATATAGCCATACCAGTGTGTAGGCTGTGTTTGAGCTTTAGACCTCTGTTACTTGACAGATGTAGAGCACAACATAATTCAGTAGTCAACCACCTGTAATTCCTCCCATTCACTTATTACTTGCACATTATAAAAGAAAAAAAAAAAAAACAAAACCTGTATGTAATTGTATGTAGTATTTTTTAGAATGGCAAGCGTGATTAGGTATCTTTACTTGCAACTTCCAAAGCTGAATGTGGGCTTTCTCAATAATCATACAATATAAATTAAAAGGATAGTAAGTTTTATTCTACTGCCAGTGGACTTCAGGGGTTTTTAGGGAATGTTCTAGATATCCTTTTAAAATAATGCTTAGGAAAAAAAATATTGCTACATCTTCCACTCGAATTTAAAATGAATTTACAATTGCAACTCTGTGTGGCCTATTACAGGACTTTTTGACTATCTGGTAGGAAGAAGAGCATTAAGGTTTTAATTTCAAAGCAAACCCTCAGATAAATTCCTGACTGATTAATCAGTTAATGTCTTTTTAGAACATGTTTTTCCTCTGCGGTGCCTTTGAGGGATATTTTAATGAAAACTGTCTGGCTTGAAAGTTGTTAGCTGCAGTGATAGCTTAAAAAAAACCTGAAAGGCATAATTTATCTTTCAGTTAATCTACCTAGTGTAAAATATCATTTAACCTAGTTGAAAAGTGAGTGAACAGGAGCTCTTTAGGATTCTTGACTAAAGTTCTGAGCAGCTGAAAAATGAAGGTATTCAGCAGGTTGAAAAATCATTTGGAATTTAGGGTGAGTATCTCATCATTATGAGATGTTGGTATTTTACAGAAGTGCAGTTGCTTTTATAATTTTCCCTTGCTTTGCGGTTTAGAAATTTTGGGGTTGAGGAGTGGTGTTTAGCTTTATGGTAAATGTTGAAGGTACAATTGTTCAAGTAATTTTAAGCTGTTTAGACACTACAGACACACTCAGACTAATTTCAGATTTGGAGACACTTTTTTTTTTTTTAGAACTACGTGGAAAGTAGATAAATTCTGAATTATGGACATTTTTTGAGTATCTGTTTTTACTTGAGAGCATCCTGTTTATTGGAAGATGCAGTGCAGAGGTGGGAGGTAGTATGTCTTTCAGATAAAATACTATAACCATGAATCATCATTATTCATGTCACAAATATATCCAATTGAAAGAAAAAAATTACTCGATGAATAACGATGAAGAATCAGACCAAATTGCTACAAAGCACCTGAAACTGAAGTTTACTTAACTGCTTAAATGGTTAAAATTTAACTAGGGCAGAAAAAAAGAGAGCCCTTTTGTTTGAAATAGCTTTCTGTGTTTTCTTTAATGTGTAATGTGCATTTAGGGTTCCTGTGTCTTTCCTTCCTTTCTCCGAAGGGAGCTTTAGGTCTAGAGCAGGCTTATATCTGAGGTACCATAGTTTGATGTCTGAAATCAGATGGGATAAGAGTAAGTGTAAATGCTGTCATACCATAAAAAAGAGTTCTTATCAGGTTATGGGAGGTAGTTGTATGAAAACAAAAATGTTCTTTATTAACAGGAGTGACAAACTGAAAGTGAGCCTTAAAATAAAGAGAAGGAGAAGAAAAAAAAGGAATAAAATAATGAGGTTTGGATTTATTTCAATTATTTCAGTAATACTCATTCTGTTGTTAAAGTATTATAAAGGAGGTGGACAACAAATTTGGGGGTTATCTCTAAAGTTAAGGAAAAAGTCTGACACTAGAACAGAAGTCTTTCATTAGGTTGACTTTATAAGCATTTTTAAAAAAGAATTTTCTCTTACACAAAATAGCACATCATCACATAAATTTCCAGTGAGCCTTTCCAAGATCACTCAACTTTTTTCTTTCTTTTTTGTAGTTGCATTAAAATCTAATGCTACAAGACCAGAAAGGAATGGTATTCAGGAAAACTGTAGAACAGCAAAACGTGGAGAAGGGATGCAGATCCTCGAAGGAGAACTGTTACTGCAGGTATGTTTTGCAGTGGATATATTATACAAAGATTTACATTTAAAAAAAAAGTGACGTTTTCTTACTATCAAATTCTTTCCTTCTTTTCTTTAGGTTCATATATACAGCTCTTGCACTTTTCTCTGGTGGTAGTAATGACTTTGAAGAGCAGGTGTTAGACTACTGGGTCCTCTTAACTCTTTCCGAGTAATTTCTTAGAGTTGTTTTTTCCCATCTCTTCGCATCTATTGTTAATAAAGTTATATTAATATAAAGAAACAATCTTCATAAAGGTCAGATAGGTTAGTCTACTACTGTAGTTTATCTACTGTAAATTTGGTGACTAATTGTCCAAAAAACAATTTCTCTTTAATAGACCTTCGGCTTGCTGGAATGTCTTGCTTTCTCAGTGGTTTGAAAGAACCTAGACTTCATAGTATAGGTTCAGGATAAATTTCAAAATACTTCCAATAACTTTTAGCAATATGAACTACTGGAAATTATTAGTGAAAAATAGGGCTTTTTAAAATAATATAGTCTGTTTTAATGTCCTAAAGTGTCAAAGCATATGAAATATAATGATGTAATAACTAGGTCCAGATTAAACTCAAGAAATGACTAATATAGGTATTCCAATGTTCTAATTAGTTTCACCAAATAGATTTTACTGTGACCTGCAGCTCCATTTGAAATATGTTGATAATCTATCTTGTACACAGGTTTCCCACTGATGTATCAGAAGTGGCAAATCATTATGTCAGTCAAAGCCAATGGTTTGCTTAGAACAAAATTAATTTAACTGTTCAAAGGGTAGAAATGATAACAGGTTCTAAGAATCCCACAAAACAATTACTGTAAACTAATGGTAGTGGAAAATTGTTTCCTAACCAACTAAAAAACTAGGACATGTATGTAATTTCCTAACTTTATTAAAATATGACAAAGAACTGTTAACAGAGTTACTGCAAGTGAACAGCTTTCTCTTAAATGGAAATTATCTAAAAAGGTACAGTATATGGTTTATATTGGAGGCATCTATTTGACGTGAAATTTAGTTATTTTTTACTTCTAAATGGAAGTTATATGATGAAACTACTATAGCAAACTGCCAGAATTTCTGGCTTACAGACAACATCTGATTTTTGCAGTAACAATACTGTTTCAAAATGAGCTGCATACCAGAGCCACTGTAAAATGTGACTGAACTCCAGGTAGAGGAGCCATTTGCCTTTGTCACAGACTGGACAGAAAAGAATGTTTCTATGGCTTTGTAAGAAACGGAGCAGAATAACTGATTTTAACATGTGGGCCAGAATTAGACACTATGCAGCTTGCAGAAGTTTTATATCAACCACTTGAGGTGAAATGCCCTGCTGAATAGGTTAGCAGGGGACACAAGCACCCTGCCATTGTGGCATCCTGCTTCCTTGGAATTAGTATGAACTTCATCAAAACCAAGGATTTTATGTAACTACTCAAGATTTCTTGGGTTGGCTACACTATTTAATTTCCCATTATTACTATTTTTTAACTTTTTTTTTTTAGCTCATACTGTTTCAGGTAAAGTTCACTAAACTTATATAAGGAGGTTTTATAGAGCTCACAACTGCTTATGAGAATAGATTAAGAAATGTCTGTACATTAAATAAGTGGCTCATAGCATTTTAAGACCAGTCATTTAATCAGATCTTTAACCTTGACTTAATTAGACTGTATTAGTAAAAGAACAAGAAATAGTAAAACCATTGCAAAGTAAACTTTGCAAAATATGGAAAAGCAGCTATGGTGGTTAACATAGTGTGGGGCTATAGGAGTTAATGTTTGTGGAAGAATGATACTATTTCATAAGAAAAATGTAGTATGTTGTTGTTAAAGAAAGATATAGGATATCCTTCGCTTACTTTACATTTTTCTGTTAGTTGCAATGATTTTGCATAATAAAGAGGTTTAAAAAATGTGTTTTGAGTATGCTGGCCAAATTTGACTTTGAACGCAGCTGAGGAAATTAAGTGGCACAATACACTTAATCCAGTCCCTGGAGACAGCCTTTTGTTAAATCTTGACTGAAATCCATAGAAGTACATCGGCACCTTTCAGATGAGCTGCCAAGTCACAAATGTACTGTCTGCTATCACAACAATTGCCATGAACTGTATTGATTGGGAGTTCAGATAAATGCCCTTTGCGTGACTTTGAGTAAGGAGCCGCTTAGTCTGCTGCTTCATGAAGGGGGAAATCTCTTCAAAAACATTGTTTACTTGCAACAGTCCGCTTGTGCAGAGGTTTTCTATTTTAAGTAAGCTATGAAATGGTTTTTTGGACTATATAGGGGATCTTGATCACTTGATTTCCTGTCCACTTAGGCCTGTCTGTGCTATGAATAGAACAGATTTTGGGAATGGGTTTGTGACATGGCTCCCGTGTGTGCTGTGGGCAGCTAGGTGTATCGAAGGCTTGAGCCACGTGAGCATTGTGAACTATGGTTGGTATTAGATAAACCTCTAGTTGTTCATACTGCTGTCCCTCATCTCCTACAATCAAGAGTAAATAAAAGTCATAAACAGGCTTTGGCTTCTCCCCTGAATTTTCCAAAAGGACTTTTCTTTTTTTCTTCATTAGATACAGTTTTCTTCATTGTGCCTTGTATACTGCAGAGATGCAATGAAAAATCCCTCTGTTTATGCTGTTAGATAATGATATGTTTTTTGCATGCTTCACATTTTATTGGGAGACTAGGGTATAGGTAGGCTTACAGCCACAATAATTATCTAGAATTTTGTCTCTGAAGCTGACAGACTGGTGTGTTTCCTCCCCAGGCACTAAACGGTTTTGTATTAGTTGTTACGGCTGATGCTCTGGTTTTTTACGTCTCTTCTACTATCCAAGACTACTTGGGGTTCCAACAAGTAAGTTTATTTTTTCTTTTATTTTTTTGCAGACATTTTGTTTAATTTCAGAGGGCATCAGTGTTCATATTTAGGATCTGATAGTTTGTGTAATAAAAATCTCAGTTAGGTACTTTGGGTTGGATTACTTTGAAACTGTATTACTTTTCTATCAGCTTACATAGCTGAAATGGGACTTCAGGCCAAGCACAACAGGAATATAATTTCCAAAGTTGAGTTAGGCAAGATAGGAAATTTTCACACTTAGTTAGTCTTTACTGGAACAACTGTTTGAAATTTATACTGTGGTATTACCCAGTTTATGATGCTGAGTGAGACATAATTCAATGGGAAGGTAATTATTTTAATAGAAACCTTTCATACAAAATTAACTCCATATGCCTTGAGGTTTTAAGCATCAACTGAGCGATTTTAGCATTTTTAGAATTTTAGTGTTCTCTCACTCGTATTTACTTTACTTATTTACTTATTTCTTTCAAAACAAGCATTTGTTATTTACAATTTATGGTGCAGATCATGTATGGCTAACTTCTTCGGACTTGCAAGCCAGGTACCAAAGTAGTAAAGACCAAGACCCAGTGGGCACGTGTTACCTTCCTTAGAGAACTCTGGGGATTAGTTTATTTAAGATGATAGAAGCTTAATTACAGTTATCAATTCATATCTTTGGGTACTGGACGATGATAGATTCAGTTGCTGTCTAAAAATAGGGAGAAACTCTGCTTGGTCTGCAATTTTAGCTAACTGATTGGGGAACACTTGTGTAAAAGAAAATATTCCAACCAAAAAATTGTTATTCCTGGGGTTACAGATTCTTTTGGTGTTGGGGAATGAAGAGAAAAGCTTGGAAAACAAATTGGGTATAAAATCTGTATAGTAATGCCGATAAATCAAGTGCATGAAGTGAAGTCTTAAACTTACAAAAATCAGCATTTCTGGCAATTTATTCTGGAAAATACTGATTCTTTTATGAAATTCATCAAAGCAAAATTTGCGCTAGGCTTCTGCTTTTGCCAGCTCATCTTAATTTCTTTACATCTATGTTTTATTTTAAATATTTTCTGTTTATATAATGGTTGGGGTTTTGATCCATGCAGAAAACAGGCAATTTAACTCCTCTCAGTTAACCAAGGCTTTTCTTGAATATTTTGGGTGGGTTTTTTCCCCTTAATTTCTTTCAGTGACTGATCCTGTCTGTTGTAGTTGTGCCATTTAGCTCACATTCCTAATGATGCAATTGGTGGTGATATGAGAGCTTAATAATTACAGATTTTAATGCATCCTTAAGGATTGACAAAGCTTTTGGGCAAACAAAACCGTGATCTACTCAGTTTTGGAAGTTGTTTGGTTCAGGGTCTTTGGCTTCTTTTGTATTCCTGTAGCACCTAGAATGGGTCAGGTCCAAGTAACAGCTGGCAAGTACTTTATTTACCAGTATGTAAAATTAATTTATTTAAACAAAATCTAAGTATAACAGTTCCAGGCTTGCTTAGATAAAAGCAGGTAAAGAAATACTTGACATAATGTTATTTTTTTTCTAAGGTAATTTTTTTTTATTATTATTTCTCATGTTTGCAGTCATGGGTGTGACTGAATTCTTCTCTGTGCTGCTAAAAATTGTTTTGTGAAGCTCTGCCACATGCATGCAAATGTATGGGTTTTTATCCCCGAGGAAAATGGATTTTGCTATATCCATAGCACTGTTGTCAACCAGCCAACTTATATCATATTGTCATATTAGTTTCTTATTCTCTTTCTTTCCCACCTTCTTCCTTTTTATACATAGTCTGATATCATACACCAGAGCGTATTTGAATTGATTCACACAGAAGACAGACCTGAGTTTCAACGACAGCTACATTGGGCATTAAATCCTGCCCAGTCTGCAGATTCTGGACCAAGCGTACAAGGTGAGAATGCAGCCAACTTATGTGTTTGCCTGTCTGATTAGTTGGTTTTTTTAAAATTTGTGTAGGTAAAAAAGTTTAGATTCTTTTACATGAACAAAGGAAGGAATAACATCTTTTAAACTTACTTGAATTTTATGGATATGTTTAGCCAACAGTAGGAATTACTATTTTTTTTTTCACTTTAAATAAGAACCACTATTCATAGCACAGCACCATTAAAAATACTAATTTTGCTTTAAATTGGAAGACTTTAATTTGGAGCATAAATAACTGAATGTATCGCACATCTGATCAGTAGTCCTGTGGTAAACAGCAAAGCAGGTAATCTAGCATGTTTTTGTTGCAAACAGGGCAGTCCAAAGTGGACAGTTTCTTTTGGTGACATAAGAAACAAACAAGTTTGATTTGTCTGTGTTCACCCTCAATTATATGGCTTGTCTTTAATCACTGTGTGAATAAGACAGTCATTTCTCTGAAGCAATGATCTCTCTTTTACATCTGCTATTCCTGGTTACGGATCACAACACCAAATTTATTAGCTTAGGAAGGCCAGCAGACAATTGTATACAACGGCTTCTTTAAGCTCTTCAGGCTGGTAGATCCATTCCATGACTAAGAATGCGTTAATTACAGTGTTAATATATGGAACAGTGCATTCCTGGTTGCGGAAGCGTTTTACTCTTTTCACATCTGTCACTGTTATATGCAGGCCACCATATAGACCAGTGCTTCTCTTGGGAGTAAAAGGAGAAGAGGAATAAAAGATTCAAGACATGAGCCTTTAAGACCAAATAGTATGCTTGTTAGCACATCAGGTTGTCACATTATTGACTGATGCTTAAGTGACCTGCTATACTGAGAAACACATTGCTTATGTATCAGAACAGGGATGTGTTGGTATAGATAGTCATGTGTAATATGGGAAGCATATGCCTTCCTGATAATAATGACAAGTCTGTTGAGACAACTGTAATGCTCCGTTATGCACAATAGTCGTTTAAATATGTAGGTAAAGCTTTATGTTACTCTAAGTTACTTGGTTATAGATAATTTTTTTTAATCCAGAAGTCCCTACTATTTTTTAATAAATCTATCATTCGTAAAGCAACTTGATTTAAAACTCTTGCAGTTTCCCGTTCAATATTTTATAGTATGGAGATGCAATGATTTGATAGAGAAATTAAAAACAAGCAAATGTTAGTTACTTGTTTGGCTCACAGCTCAGTATATTTCAATTTTTCATTTAGTGGTCAACGTTGTTGTATCGTCTATGGATCAGTCTATGCAATCCAGTTGAAAACATGCTACAGAACTAATTAATATTACAATTTGGTATTGCAAATGGCTGCTGGCACTCAGAAACCAGGTTTTTATGTGGTAGCTTACTGTTTGCTTCAAAGTGAAATGGTGTTCTGTAGCGCTTAAGCAAGTGCATATGAATTTACAAAAGGTTGTGTTTGAAAAGTATGATGCCAGGTTGACTTGCCCTCAGGTTTGAATGAATGATGGAAGAGCTGAGCAGGATTACAAACAATCGTTTGTTTTGTACTTTGTGTTCCTAGCTTACTAGAAGCTGCTAATTATTTTTGGGCCTCAAGTAGCGTAAAATGTTTGGACATTGAGACTTTTTGAACTGAATTTGGATTTATAACAAAGGATAATGGTGTGATCATAAGGATCCTCCCCATTTTTGCTAATTTAATCCATTTCCTTTTTAATACATTCAGCTCGTGTTACGTAGATATTTATAGACATATAATTGTGCTCAGGCTTAAGCATAGATTCCAGACTGAGTCTGGGAACTAGTTCTGCTTCAGTTAGCCTGAAGTGGTTGCTTCTCACTCAATACTCTGGTATGCCCTGTAGACCACTGGTCTCCTCAGCTGCTTACTGTGTGTTGGGGTTTAGCCCCTGTTGGCAGCCAAGCACTACACTGCCGCTTGCTCACCCTCCCCAACCCAGTGGGATGCGGGAGAGAATCAAAATGGCAAAAGTAAGAAAACTCATGGGTTGAGATAAGAGCAGTTTAATAATTGAAATAAAATAATAATAATAATAGTAATAAAAAAATGTAATGAACCGGAGAACAGTAAAAGAGAGAGAAACAAAACCCAGGAAAAAAAGCAAGTGATGCAACTGCTCACCACCCACTGACTGATGCCCAGCCAGTCCCTGAGCAGCGATCACTGCCCCTGGCCAACTCCCCCGTTTATATACTGAGCGTGACATCATATGGTATGGAATAGCGCTTTGGCCAGTTTGGATCAAGTGTCCTGGCTGTGCCCACTCCCAGTTTCTTGTGCACCTGACAGAGCATGGGAAGCTGAAAATGTCCTTGACTAGTGTTAGCACTGCTTAGCAACAACTAAAACATCAGTGTGTTATCAGCATTATTCTCATACTAAATCCAAAACATGGCACTGTGCCAGCTACTAGGAAGAAAATTAACTCTATCGCAGCCAGGACACTGTGCTTCCCAGACACTCCTCCCAGCCATGTCATATTCCCAGAGAAGTTTGCAAAATTCTGATTTTTCAGTCCCAAATATCTGTTTTGCAGACTCAAGTTTGGGTTATCTTTTAAAGTTTGCTTGCTGTGCAACCATGTATTGCCTTGAGCTTAAAGGGAAAAAGGACGATGCACAGCATGTTCTGCACATCGCTCTATGGTGTCGATGAGCTCCATTGTGAACTTCATGAGGGATGTGGGTTCTACGCTCTGTAGCATTAACTGGTAATTTTGCCCCAGGGATTGATGATGCTTTTTAAGACTCTTTGCCTTCTTAAAGTGAGTCACTTATCCAAGATCCTGGCACTAAAATCTCTCTGCCACCTGTCTGCCTGGGAAAGTGCAGCAGTATTCCTTTCACAAATGTGGGCTTGAAGCCCATTCCCTCCTGTTTGGAGTTCTGTTCCCCTCCTTTCATGAGCTACAGACTGTGTTGGTTCTTCCACCAAAGCCTTGTTCACTCTTGGGAACTGCCAATTTTACTAGGGAAGTTGACAGACACTTGAGAGAACCCAGATAAGATACCTGCATTCAAATTCCAGCTCTGTATCTACCAAAGAATAACACCAAGTTGCTCCTGTGGCAGAAATGCTGAAGGGCATGCCTGCCAGTGCCAAGGATGCCAGCAGGAAGCCTTGCACTGCTTATTGGATGCTAGAGCTATACTTGGTAGGCACTTCAGATTTATCTGAGTTGGAGGACTTAATCAGAGCCCTTCAAGGATTCTCCTACTGATGATTAAAGTCTTTCCTTATGTCCCCACCAAGAAGTTGCCCATAGTCTCATTAATCTCCATGAAAGAATTGACTGAACAAACACACACAGGGCCTTCAAGGCACCCTAAACTACTTGGTGCTCTCAGTACGCTTCTGCCTGGCCAGCAGCTCTTCCAGTCAGCTCTTCTTCTGACAGTAGCTAACTGTAGATACCAATTTTCTTTTGGCCTCACTAGCTGGCACGTTCTCAGTAATAGTTGGTCTTGCAGGAATAAAATTTTGGCAATAGAAAAGGAACACAGATATTGGGATTGCTTGGTGGGGGGGCAAGTATTTTGGTGGCTTCCTTGGTGCTGATACTTGTGAAACACCAATGTCGATATATCCAGTGTATTAACCATTTTGAGGAGACCTCAAGTAATGTATATGCAGGGATTCTTGCTTTTCTCTGTTGAGAACCGTCCATATGACAAGCGTGGGAATTTGTTATTTTCTAATATCAAAGTTAGGTGGCAACTATCTTGGACTACCAGTATTTGAGTTTCTGTTCCTGTGAGATCAGCTCATAATGGTGGCTTTGGCCAATACACAGTTCTGCAGATGGCTGCAATTTCAGATTATCCATTTTCATACACGGAATCAGCTAGGGCCCTTTTTCTTTTCCTCCATACCTTGATGTTTGTTCAGCAAAAGTTGACCTTGTATAGCAGTTCTTTTAAGAAAAAAAAAAAAAAGTATCTCCTGATTTTATCTGAAAAGTTGGATAACTCAGCATTCTTGTTGCATTTAGACAGCCTTAGGTTGCAAGACCTTTTGGCGAGCCATCAGCTGTCTTATTTGACTCCAGTTCAGTCCCTTGAATTAATAGGAGATTAAATTGAACTGGCTTTTGGTCATGATTTGTTTTCCTTTGCGTTTTGTTCACCATTCTACAAACCACCTAGCCTATCTGTAAGTTTTTCCAGCTGTCCAAGAGACAGAATTATATTCCAGAGAACATAATGTGGTGTGTGATTAAGTGACATGCTCTCCCTGACTTCATCTCCAAGTCTGGAAGATCAATATGGGTTCTTTCTTAAAATCTGTATTCTTCTTTTGTCCGTACATGGCACTTGGTTTTCTTGGAGTATATGGACTATTTTTTAAATTACAGAGTATTTTGCACTCTGAAATAGCATTTTACACTGTTTTTTTCCCTTAATTTTCTGTGTGTATGGATTCCTAGAGAACGACCAGTTTGTGGGTTTTTATATGTATTACAAACAAGATCACTTTGCTAAATTTGCTGTGAGTAGACATGCTATGGTATCTCTGTATATGTAGTCTCATGCAGAACATATGTATTCTATCAGAAGTTTATTGATTTACCTTCTGGTTTTACTTTATATTCCAAATGTTTAAGTCTGTTTTCTAAATGCCACTTAGCAGCAAATACTTGTTCTGAAGTGGCAGAATATCATGTTGTTATACTAGTTGTCAATCATGGGTTTGGGTCTTTTTTTTAAAAAAAAAAACCAACAAACAAACAAAAAACCCCCACAAAACACAGGTACTCCATGTTCTGCTGGAGAGGTAACTATGGTGTTTTCTTGACCAGCACAGCCCAGAAATATTTTCACTATTTAGTAGGGGGTTTTTGCATCCATTAGAGAAAGTACTCACATTGCTTTATTGTGGTGGTTCCCTAAAGATGTATCTCTTTATTTATTGCTACAGCTTTCACCTGGCTGTCTGGAAAGTAACAGTTCCACAGTTTGATACCACCTACTGAACTTTTGAATACTCGGTTGCTATAGGTACTATGCCTTTTGCATATCCTGCCATTGCAGAAATGTGAGTTTGCTTTCTGCTGAGAACTCTGCTCTGCAACTGATTCAGAACCTAGACTGGTGACAAACATAATGAATAAATTAAAAAAATGAAGCAAACAACCCAAAACAAAACACCAAAAAACACCACTTAGAAAAAAAATTGTATTTAGTTTTCAAATACCATAACCTGTAAAACATAATCCCATCAGAAGAACTGATACTTAATGTAGTGTTATAATCAGTATAGGTTCTGAGGATGTTTCCAGTTTACATTGTTCTTGCTCAGGTCATGACCTAATGCTTTGTTTATGAGACGGAAGATGATTTGTTATAGATAGCCTTCACTTAGGTGTTCTTCTAAAAATAATTCTTATAAATAATCCTTTCCTGTAGGAGATAATGGCTTTTCACAGCCAGCAACCTATTATAACCCAGACCAACTTCCTCCAGAGAATTCTTCCTTTATGGAAAGGAATTTCATCTGCAGGTTACGATGCCTCCTGGATAATTCATCTGGGTTCCTGGTGAGTACGGAATTATGTAAAAACTTCCACACATGCTTGCAAGTTGGAAAACTGCATTATCCTTACAATATGTACAGAAACTTACTTCATTTGTTAAGTCTCCATAGATATCTGAGCTGCTTGAACCAGTATGTTTCAGTTAGTGGCACTAAATGTGTCCCCTACAACATGTTGTTACAACCAGGTACAAGTTCCCTCATTTCTCATGGCTCAGTTTCCTCAGTGAACTATGAATAAGCATCTGCTTTTGTAAAGTACTGTGTGATTTGTGGATAAAAAAAAAAAAAACATTACAAAGATTATTTTCTGTTAGGTATCTTGAGATGCAATGAGTCACAATAACTAACAGAACCATAGTTTTCCCTTACGTGGGAAAGTCTGTGCATGCATGCTCTTTTTAATACTTTTTTTGTTTGTCAGTGCAGTAGATTTTAAAGAAATATGGGTTTATCACCCTCTAGGTGACTTCTTACAAATAGAATAGTTCATATAGGATTTTGCAATTGTACACATTTGCATACTTTATACTAATGACTGACAAATGCAAGATAAATAATGTTATGTTAATTGTATGTATGTATAATGCCATGTTCATTAGAATATTAGAAGATCCATTTGGCATTTGCTATTATATGTTTGGGGTTTTTTACAAAACAACCTTCCCATTACTTCTTTTTCCAATGAGTTTATTAGTAGATTTCAAAATGACATGCTTAGGGGTATAACAACAGTATTCTATACTTGTTACCTAACTTCTGTGTATGCCATGCTACAAAGCTTGAATCTGATGGGTCTTAAAAAAAATAAATATATGTTTTACATCATAACAATATCTTACTCCTAAGTATCTCCAACATACAACAATTACTTTTTTCCTCATCCTAAGGCTATGAATTTTCAAGGACGATTAAAGTTTCTCCATGGACAAAACAAGAAAGGGAAAGATGGTGCTACTTTGTCTCCTCAGCTCGCTCTGTTTGCAGTAGCTACTCCCCTGCAGCCACCATCTATCCTTGAGATACGAACCAAAAACTTCATCTTCAGAACTAAACACAAACTGGATTTCACTCCTACTGGCTGTGATGCAAAGTACGTGTAAATTATTCTGCATAATACCCTAATAATTTGCTGATAAGAGAGATTTCAAGTATGTATTTGAAATATAAAGTTGGCTACTGTTTCAGTCAATACTGATGATTGTTTAGGAACTGTTAGGATTTTTCTCTTCAGCCCTGCTAGTAAGTAAAGAGAAATGGGATTGAAATAGTATATTTCCTTGAAAGGGCATATTGCTTTCTGAGTTTTAATATTAAAAAACCAAAACAAACCCCTCCAAACCCCCCAAAAAAACAAAACAAAAAACCCCAAAAGACAGAATACTAATGAATTAGGGAAGAAGAAAAATTTGATGTTTAAATCTGGTTGAAATTTAGTTTTAAACTGATAGAACAAGTGTTTCATTTTGTTCTACATGCATATTTTCTCCTTCAGTTCACGTAGATGTAAAATGCAATGGAAATGTTATTTACTTCAAAATAAACAAATTAAGTCCTTTTTTACACTATGACTTTTACCCATTTCCAAACCATTCTTTTCCCTATATAAAAACTGGAAACACCATTGCGTTACTAGATCAACATAACATAACTATGCATCAACATGGCAAGAAGCCCATTAAGATGCTTCTTTATCAAAAGAAAAGCCTCTGGTTTCCTTCCTTCTCCCTTCCCTCCTATTTTTGACTGATAATGCTTTCAACTTTGACTCATATGGATTTCCATGCCTACTTATAGAATAATGTAGAATGAAATTACTCAGTATTCTGTCTACTGATAAACCAAAATGTTTTTCTTGGGTTATATAAACTGATAGGAGTAAAAGTTAAAATGTTAACACAGGCTTTTCTTTCTTCTGTTTGAATTTTTTCATTATGTGTTACTTGAAACCTTCAATTTTTGTCATGTTTTACACTTTTGCGTATATTCTTCCCCATCCCTATTCCCC